GTGTGTGTGTCGTGTGCGTGTGTGTGTGTGTGTGTGTGTGTGTGTGTTTGTGTGTATATATATATCTATATATATTGTGATACTCGTCTAACACTTTAGTCTTAATGCCAGCTAGAGTAATTTTCTTCAATTAATGAATATTAAGACAGTAGTCTACTGGCACTTGTCTCAAAGTGTTCATTGTATCCTACAGTGTCACATTTTGGTGTTCTTAAACAAATTTGAGACCATGCGGGCAGGCCAACCCCCTAAACCCTAGACACAGTTCGGGATACGCCCCCTGAGCCGATCACACGCACTCCTGACCACTGCGCCCAACGTAAGGGTTAGGCCACCGAACAGAGCTACGCATGCCGCGCCCGTACTCCAACGCCGGCCTATACGCACCCGAACACGCCCTACTCGCACCCGATTCCTGCCGCCAGCTACACCAGCCGCCACGCCGTAGGAATGTCTCTCGGCATCCGAACCTCATAAGCGAGGTCGCTCTCTGGAGAGCACACTGCCTGCCACCGGGCCATCGTCAGCCTCCTGCTGCTGATGACGGGCACTACCCCGCGTGTCAGCCACCGCCAACCATGACGACCAATTCTTGATTTTCTCCCAGCGGAAATCACCCGACCGAACCAAACAACATACCTTGAGCAATCAGTTTGTTACGCACCAGTTGTGTGGCTGGGAAAACACCCTCTCACGCCCATGGAGAACGTCCTTGACATCTGAGGTCATGTCATAGACCACATCCGCTCCAAAATCGTGAACTCCGACGATACCTGCCCACGCCATGTCTTGGCCGAAACCGTCTGGGTCATGTGGTACAACGCGGAGGCCTCTCGTCCATGCTAGTTTGCCTGAACGGCGACCGAAGAAACAGGCAGTTCTCGTACGAACTCCGGAACACCAATACCGTAAGCTGTGCCACTTTCGGGCAGACCGGTTCAAGGTACTGGCGCAGCTGCGTCCGGTGACAAGCCAATCGCTTCGCGCCGAACTGAATCGTGTACACGACCGCGCTGTCCTTGGACTCAACTTTTGCCGGGCCATGCCACAAAGGCAATGACCGCAGCTGCCCGGCTTGACCTTGAACTTAACCAAGTCCCCTGCAGCAAACTCATCCGCGTCCTCACGCACCGCGTTACCTCGCTTCAGCTGCGCCGCCTGCGCTGACTGAACACTTGTGTGCGCATCATCATCAATGATGATTGCCGCCACCGTATCAGGTTGCTGGAGTAGCACCCTAACTTGCTCTTCCAGCGCAAACTCGCGACCTCCGTCATACCAACGGTTTGTTGCCATGGTATTCGGCGCATGTTCCCGTGCAGACCTGGCCGCCGCATTGTACGCATTTCGGATTTTGTAAACCAAATGTATCCAGTCCCCTTACATGTCCTCCGTGAGGGACTTGCGGATCCAATCATTTGCCACCTTCACGGCAGCCTCCGCAGCCCCATTGCCCTGGTGGTGGTCGGTTGTGTAATAGCCGGGCCTCCACATTAGACTCTATGTGATAAACGTACTCTTAAGCAGTACGTAAACTATAAACGTACTCTTAATAGTACGAGGAACTTAAGTTTCCTAAATAGTTTTTAACGGTTTTATTAATTAATACCTTTTCCATTTTACATATCAGATATTTGGACAAGGCCATTAAAAAGGCCCCAGTAAAATAACAAACATAAGATTCGGTCTAGTTCTATTAATAGAACTATATTTACTTTCCAAATCTTTTTATATCTGAAAACTTCGGTAGCGAGATGGCTCAACCGAATATAGGTTTCTAGGGACTATTAGCGTTACCTAGTTTATACTCCGATCAGCCAACCAGATGTGCCAGTCTGATGAAGGCTAAGTCGGTAACTCTTGATAAGTGGCACGTTATTGGTTAACGCAATAACTAAGGACATCAAGAGTACTTTTCTTTTATTCGTTAATTTTTTCTAAAGATAGGATTTTATGAGTCTCTCGGATTCGCCCCAACGAAACGTACCATAGTTTCTAATAGAGCGACAACGAAACACTAAATAAAATCCCTTCGGCGAAAACAGTACTGAGAGGATTATATATAGGCAATGTCTCAGCCTCACAATCTCTCAGAATATTGCTGTTTTCCCGAGGCATACTAACTTTACTAAAAGACTCATTTCGTTTATTTATTTTGAATTTCACGATACTTAGATTTTACCTACGCGTTTAACTACTCTAAGGCGTTAATATCGCCTTGATAGACCGAATCTTACAGTAGGCCGCCAAGCGCTTCTGTATGGCGGTCATGTAGTTCACTGCAGACTCTGCTGGCTCGGACGGGTTATCCTTTTGGTCCTCCACTTCTCCGATCAGGACCTTGAGCATCGAATGCCCGCATATTAACACAATTAGCTCCAGGAGGACCTCAAACAGCTTTCCAGGGTCCTGCCTCAACGCCCGGGCATAATTCGCTGTTGCAGTTGTCTTGTCTCTTCGCCCATACCGTGGCCAGACATCTGCATACAGCCGAGCATACGCCACCAACCAGTCCGGATCTGCCCTCATGACATACTGCATCCGAGACTGTAGCGTCACGAAAACATCTTAATTCAGTTATTGGTTCGGGATACAAACTTTCCCTGCCATTTAACCCTCACCGAACCCGGTGTACGCCACCTTTGTGCGAACGAGGTACACATGCTCGTTTCACAACCACAGGGTATCCGACTCATCCACCTCCGTGAGCACCACTAACGACGATTCGACCATCTCGCCTCAAGATTTCAGATTTAACTCGAGATCGACATTCGACGCCCCTTCTCTTTTAGTTTCTATATGCTTAGCACAGAAACGTAGAACACTATCAATTCATTAGTTGTGATACTCGTCTAGCTAATTTAAATAGCGAACACTTTAGGCTTAATGCCAGCTAGACAGTGTTTCTTGGGGTAATACTCTGAATGTACATGGCCTACATGGGAAAGTCACTAAATGTACACACAAATTGACGGGTACGTTTTCTAATTGCCCAATCAAATTGTCTACATGCAATTTTCAATATATATATAC